TGTGTTTGTGGCTATGGAGTAAGTGGACCTAAGCTTAAAGTTTGGGGTACTCAGTGGATCCTTCGGGGTATTTAGTGGACTTTTCGGGGTATTCAGTGGACCTTTGCGTAGTAGGGTTAGTATTGTGATTAGCTCCGGTACAGTGCTGATAGCACACATCAGTGAACTCCATAGCATTGTGTAATTTTCGATTTTATGCATTGTGCTTGTGACATTGTAGTTATGAGCATATAATTTTATTAAATAAATTTGATTTAAATGTCATTGACTATTCCTTCACATGTGTGATTATGATTTGAGAAATTAAGTTATTATTTAAATACTGAGAATTATAATTTTATGTGGTTTGATGCCGTTGTATCTCATACTCTTTGTGTGTATAAGTCTAGGGGTCTTAGAACTCAAGTTTATAACTTAAACTTAATACTTACTGGGCTTTTAACTCATAAAACCCCCCCCATTTTAGATCCGTAGATTGGAATAGCAATCACTAGCTGGGGAGTTTCGGTAGAGGTCCCGTATGCTCGTTGTATGTAGAAAATAGCACCTCGTGCTTTTGATATGGAGGCGGATCAATGTATTACCAAAACAATGATTCGACTTTTGATATTTTGAAAAACTTTGGAGAAAGATTTACCCTCATATGATTTTGTGTAAATTACTTTTATGTATATAATATTTAAATTAATTAAATGACCTTAGCCCAATTTATTTTATAACCTTGAGTATTTTGACATTTCCTTAATACATTTTCTAGTTAAAGTAGTTTTCTTTTATAAGTATTTGATTTTCTTTCTGTAAAATTTTAAATTGATTTCAAAGCAAGTTTTCTTTTAAAGAAACATTTTATAATAGAAGTGTTTCTACTTTCGCTATAATCTTTTACTATAATTCTATTTTCTGGATTCCTCTGGGACTAAGGGTACCTAGGGAAGGTGTGTCATAAGAGGAATAACTATTCAGAATATTTATGGCATATACAAATTAACATGAACCCTTTCTTTTATTTGGTAATAATATATATTATGCAAAATAAA